ACTTCAAATAGTATGCTCTATACTATACTCGATCAAGTTTTATTCTGTAAAAATATAGTTTTAAATATGTTCCTTTAAGACCTTAGTAACTCTAGCTCTACATATTCGTACGATGTGGATTTAATACAAAAATATTTTAATAATAGTGTGCACTTAAATGTTGATATTCTATTTATAATAGCAGTAAGATATTGTATTAATTAATTCATAAAATATTTTAGTCATAGAGTGCACTTTAATGTTGATATTCTATTTATAATAGCAGTAAGACATTGTATTAATTAATTCACAAAATATCAACATGTGTGAAGTATATATAATAATAACAATAACACTTGTCATAGCAATAATAACAGTAGATATTTCAAAATTAGATGTTTATACTTAAATATTATAATCTGAATTCAACAATATATTATATTATGTGATTATAAAATGTTATTGTGCATTAAAACGTCTTCTGTAGCACGAGCATATTAGATACAAAATGAAAACATTATAATAAATTTACAAGCGTATAGTGATTATCTGGCTGTGGTCCAATAAAATGTTACATCGATTCTTTGCAGGATAGTGTTCATCCAGCATGTGTTTCCGATTAAATTAATGACAAAATTGTTTGGAGAGTTGGTTGTAAATATTATTTTTGTTTTAAAAATTATGGTTTACAAACACATAATTGGTGATATATTATCAACACAATAATAATTACACAAATAACTATAACCTTAGATAGCTATAGTATAATGTGTAAATGTTTTATTAGCTGTGATTTGTTTGATAGATATAAATATAAAATTATGTACATAATATGTACCTGTATATTTTTATTTTTTGTTACTTCTTTGGACATATTGGGTAGTGTTACTGTCGTTTTGTAGCAACGTGGATTAATATTATAAACGTATATCTATGAGTTTACCATACCTACATAATATTATACACATTAATAAATAATAATGTGATATGCATATTACATATAGGTATTTCCAAAAGTGTAAATGTGTACATTAACCTAGGTACACCCACCGATGTTTTGTAAATACATAGATTAAATTAATATATCCTTGTAGGCGTAATTACCACGCCCAGAAATATGCAAAAACATTCGAAATAAAAATTGACATTGTTTAACCATTATCCGGCATCTGATTCCATCGCGCGTACGTTTTTTGTGTTCCCGTGACATTAATTGACAATGCAGCAAGTTCCATCTAAATATTTGTTTTGCGGCACCGAGGACATCGTGTGGATCACCCTTTAATTGTATATTAAGAACTTACATAACACATTTCCGTGTAAAATTTACTATTTTGTCTACAAATTTTTTTTTTTTAAAGCACGTAAACAAATTTAATATTGCTATCAAATGTTTTCGGTTAAGACCATTGATTGATAAATACTCGTTTACTATAGAGTTCGGATTCGTGTGCACGCACAATAATACTTATTTTATATTATACAATAGACACCTGTCTGGTGTGCCTTCGTATTTATAGTATTTATATATTATGCATATAAATTTGACTGACGCGCAATTCCGGGCTCTAGCAATGATAGCATTAATCCTCGGAAAAAAAAACTTATAAAATGAAAACAATCATAATTTTGTATAAATACACTTTTCAATTGTAAAATCGATTTAAATTAAAAGATCATCTTAACTATCGAGTAATAAAACTGGAAATACGAATATAAATTTCAGTTATACTAAGTTACGTATTTTTAAGTAGTGTTATTATAACATTCAACATTATTCTTATAAAACTAGGTAGGTATTTAAAATGTAAAACACTATCAATTCATATTATACCTATAATTATATATGTTTGAAAATTTATAAAATTAATCATGACAATAGCAATAGGAAATAACTAAAGAACCTGAGGTACCTGTAAATCCGAAATCGTATAATAGTATAGGTATAYTATAAAAGCCACATGTAACTACAAAATGTAATGAAAAAAATTGTTTATTATGTTGTAATAATATACGTATGTAGGGATTATTGTTTACTATATATAGTATACATATTATATTCACGCGTTGAAATGTGTTACTATACGTATATATGATGGACGTCATATTATATAGGTATACCTGCTTTAATTTTTTTGAATTTTAATATTTATATGAAAATAATACATTAGTGTTTTTCATCATTTGAAATTATAGGTAGTTCACTCAATTAAAACGCATAACAAAAAGTCTCATATATCGTGGTAAAATCAGATTGTACATATTATATTCCTGTATAGTGGTACACGCGGCTGTAGTAATAATAATTGGCTTTCGGGGCGTGCATGTTGTAAATTTGCATAGATTATTTATTTGAAGAACTGTGCGCGCAGTTGTACAACATGATATTGTAATTTAACTTTTCAGAAACGCGAAACTGTTAATTTTTGTATTTTAATAAAATTGTTGTCATCGCTGAAAATAAATCAAAATATTATACAATTGTTTTCAAACAAAACCAGAAATCTGACGAATCGCAGGGGACTTTTGATTTTTATGCATTTAAATCACGTTCAATTCGCATTGACTAAATTCGGTTTGAACACGTTTGTGTGTGTGTGAACTCGACTGCGATGTTTAATCTCGGTCTGGGATGTACTCTGTGTTCAAACTTATGGCACGCCTGTTGAATATGTAATGTGCAGTCCTGAAAATAAAATAATGTCGTCTATTTTTTTCTTTCGAATGCACGTCATAATTAATGATTGCTCTGATTATATTATTTCTTATAATATTGTCGTACCTGATATACTCAGTTTTGAAATTCTTAACTAGGTAATTCCCGCAATTATCTTATTCAGCACTAATATTTAATCACCAAACACCAAACATTAATCAGTAATCAGTAATCACGCTAATAAACAGTAATCAGATACGCGTAGTTGCTCGATTTTCGTACTACTTCAATTAATGGAATTTCCTCTCGCTGTTTGAAATATTGACATAATACAATATATAACATTAAGGCGTAATCCACTTATATCGATTTTTATAATTTTTCTCGTTCGGTTGGTTCTTCTCCAAGAAAATTAAACTGATGAACTATTTACATACACTATATATAGGTACCTATTGATATACAGTGTGGTTTTAATACAACATTTAAGACGTGTAATGTTTATTTTTTAGCTTAATTCAATCACGAATAAATATTGTTGAAGCTAAGATCGTTAATTTAATTGGTAGGTATATAACTACTAACGTAGACACGTAGGTATAGTATTATAGGAGCAGTCGTCTAGATTATCTTTGCTGCAGTTTGCAGAAGAATAAAATAAAATTAAACCTGCCAGACAAAATGAAAATCAATACGGTTTGGTAATTCAAAACACGGCCTAATAGCTACCTTTTTCCGATTAGTGTATTAAAATAAGACCATTGTTTTTTTTTTTTTTTTTTAATTCCGGCAATTGTTTAGTTCAAATTTAACACAAATGTAGGTAGTACCTATGTATACCTTGATATTATCGAATGTGTCCATTTGGATTTTTCCGCTTTGTAAATTAAATCGAAATAAAAAGGAATTGTGTTTTTAAACGCATTGCAGTCGAACGTTGCACACGTGGAGACCTTTTCTCTTTCTATTATTACTATAAAGTTAATTGACTGTTACAGTTGAACACAATTTATTTATGTTTTGGAAGACTCAGTCGGTCGGTAAATGTTACGTTTTACGAGCGAATTTTTGTATACCAWGTCGTTATTTTTTTTTAATCGTCTCTTGTATACAGGGATATAATACAATTTCCATTTTTGGGCCTTTTTTTCCAAGTGCACATTCTATCTACATGCGTACATAAACATGACTGTACGGAGCGCAACGGTCTGAGGTTATCATKTTATAWAGTGTGCGTGATTAAAAAACCGAGAAACTTGGAGGCGTAAATTGAACGACTTTTTAATTATTGTAATTTTTCATGCGTTCGGCTGCAGCAGGTACTACGAACAGCGTCGGCGGCGGCGAGGCGAACCGTCCGGCGAAAACGGGCCGACGAATGGTGGCAACCGCGAGCACGCGGACCTCCCGCCAATTATTGTTTTATTCTAATGAAACGGCAAAGAAGTCGCCTGGGCGGACGGGGGGGCCGTACCGTTTGCGCGCGGCCATTGGTCGCCCCGTCGTCGTCCCCGTCGCGGTCGAGGTTGTCGTCATCGCCGTCGACGTCGCCGCCGCGGCCGTAGACGTAGCTGGTGCCGGCTTGTGCGGTGGTGGCCGCGTCGGCGGTGGACACGACAGGCATCGGGACAACGGAATTATGTGGCGGGTGTGGTGGTGGGGCGGCGGCGGCGACGGCGGCCCAGGTGTGCGTTGTGGCCTCTCTCGCCCG